ACTACATAGTTGTATATGATCAATCTGTAGGTGTTGTGAACACTACATAGTTGTATATGATCAATCTGTAGGTGTTGTGAACACTACATAGTTGTATATGATTTAATCTGTAGGTGTTGTGAAATGACACATAGTTGTATATGATCAATCTGTAGGTGTTGTGAACACTACATAGTTGTATATGATTTAATCTGTAGGTGTTGTGAAATGACACATAGTTGTATATGATTTAATCTGTAGGTGTTGTGAAATGACACATAGTTGTATATGATCAATCTGTAGGTGTTGTGAACACTACATCCTGTGAGATTCGAGACCTAGTAGCTGGAGAAAGATATATCATCAGAGTGGCATCTGTTAGTAACAGGGTTGAGAGTGTGGAAGTTCGAGAGGAGAAGCAGACAATGTGTGAGTTAATATTTTGCATTTCTTAATCTTGAAGAAACAATGTTAAGGATTATTCATGTTGATGATTAGATTAATATCTGGATCTGGATAATGGGACTTGCAACATTTAATGTAGAAGTTCATTTGTTTTTTGGTAGTTTGTTAATTGGTATGAATGTAGAATATTGCATGTAATGAATATTTTTTTATGTAATGTGTTAACTGTGAACATTTTACTTCATTATTATTATCTTGTATATTGTTTGAACTGCTATAGAACTTTGTTTTAATTGTTGTTTTTCTGCAATAACTAATGCACAGCTGAATGATTTTGTTTGTAACTAGTTTCATGGGATTTGTGCCCATAGTATTATTAACTTACTTATGTTTTATAGACCCAAACTCTATCAGACATGTTCGTCACATCATTGATTCTCAGAACATTACATTTGAGTGGTTGGTTCCTGCTGGTCGGGTAGACTACTACATCACAGTCTACAATGCAGTTAGAGACCCTCTAGCACAGAATTCACAGCAGGTAAGTGAGTGTTTATTATTCAGAAGCTTCATATACAATTAGGCAGGAGATAGTGTAATAAGTACAGAGTTCAAAGTGAAACTGTGTGTATGTGGTTTACTGCTTCATTCCAATCATTTTTAACACTAATCCTTGAGCCGTGATTGTTTCTTTTCAGATACCAGCCAATGGTTCTAAAACGGGAGATACAGTCAGTGTAATAGTTGAAAAGTTGAAACCTGGAGAGCTGTATTCCTTTCGCTTTTATGCTGTTAGCCACAACCTTAGAAGTGAAGGAATTGGAATTCAGACTAGAACAAGTACGTGTCTCAAGACACTGGAGTCTACAGGCTTCAATCATTTCTTGTGTTTATTTGTTTTCATCAACTGATAGTAAAATTGTCCCAAATGTAAAGAAAATTCACATTTATATTTTCAAAATACTTAAACACAAAACAAAAATCAACCTTGTTGTGAGTTTACTTATTGTACAGTTAGTTACCTTGAGTTAAGTGATCATACAGTTACTTGCTGTGAGTTTAGGTATATTGTATGTTTTTAACTTTCTCCATTTTTTTTATTGATCTTGTATAATTGTTTGTTTTTAGTGCCTGTCATTGATTCTATGATAAACATAATCACAGATGAACATGAAACTTGGACTGATATAATTGTTTGTTTTTAGTGCCTGTCATTGATTCTAGTGATAAACATAGTCACAGATGAACATGAAACTCGGACTGATATAATTGTTTGTTTTTAGTGCCTGTCATTGATTCTGTGATAAACATAGTCACAGATGAACATGAAACTCGGACTGATATAATTGTTTGTTTTTAGTGCCTGTCATTGATTCTGTGATAAACATAGTCACAGATGAACATGAAACTCGGACTGATATAATTGTTTGTTTTTTAGTGCCTGTCATTGATTCTGTGATAAACATAGTCACAGATGA